GACAGACAGACAGACAGACAGACAGACAGACAGACAGACAGACAGACAGACAGACAGACAGACAGACAGACAGACAGACAGACAGACAGACAGACAGACAGACAGACAGACAGACAGACAGACAGACAGACAGACAGACAGACAGACAGACAGACAGACAGACAGACAGACAGACAGACAGACAGACAGACAGACAGACAGACAGACAGACAGACAGACAGACAGACAGACAGACAGACAGACAGACAGACAGACAGACAGACAGACAGACAGACAGACAGACAGACAGACAGACAGACAGACAGACAGACAGACAGACAGACAGACAGACAGACAGACAGACAGACAGACAGACAGACAGACAGACAGACAGACAGACAGACAGACAGACAGACAGACAGACAGACAGACAGACAGACAGACAGACAGACAGACAGACAGACAGACAGACAGACAGACAGACAGACAGACAGACAGACAGACAGACAGACAGACAGACAGACAGACAGACAGACAGACAGACAGACAGACAGACAGACAGACAGACAGACAGACAGACAGACAGACAGACAGACAGACAGACAGACAGACAGACAGACAGACAGACAGACAGACAGACAGACAGACAGACAGACAGACAGACAGACAGACAGACAGACAGACAGACAGACAGACAGACAGACAGACAGACAGACAGACAGACAGACAGACAGACAGACAGACAGACAGACAGACAGACAGACAGACAGACAGACAGACAGACAGACAGACAGACAGACAGACAGACAGACAGACAGACAGACAGACAGACAGACAGACAGACAGACAGACAGACAGACAGACAGACAGACAGACAGACAGACAGACAGACAGACAGACAGACAGACAGACAGACAGACAGAGACAGAGAGACAGAAGGGTAGGGAAAGGGGAGAGTGACCATGCAACTCTGAGCCCAAACTGGGAGAGCTGCGGCGCCGCGATGTCCCAGCACGGTCCGTCCAGTGTACGGTATAGGGGAGACCGGCTCAGCGGCGCTGCACGCCGTCGTATACCCACTGGCAGGTGATTCATACCCACCACTGTCCACCCGTCAAAACCCAAGGTTAGTTGCGGTAAAATGCTTTTGAAGAGAGCGTCCAGCATCAACGATACTGCGCTGCTCCAGCCAAAAGACGATTCTGATTCAGTCTACTAAAAGGAGACAGCAAAAATGTTCCTCCCGCTGAATCTATCTTTCTGCGACGAATGATTTGCATGGTTGGCGTTTTGTAAAGCGGTGAGGAAACCCTAGCAGCGATCGTTCACACCTGCCACTCACCGGGCCCGCCGAGCGGACACGCACCGGTCCCGGGGACTTGTGTAACCGCCTCTCCCACCGGGGAACCTTCACCAGATCACACGCAAACAAACGGCCATTTCGCTTTTGCTGGTCGTTTATCAGCATGAATGACAAAACGGGCATCGTCTGGGAGCTGTGGCGCCGCAGTTGCTCTCCAGGGAGTACCGCCCCCGAGAAAGGTGGTCCTAGAGCAGGACCAAGACTGGCTACTTCGCGGCGTGATCCGCACTGGAGACCGGCAGAGTCAGCAAAAAATATGTCTGATTGAGCCAATGGCGAAACCAGGCAGGCTGGTCGAAGAATACTTTGCCTGGTCCACCCTAACACTAATTGCGGGTCTGTTTTTTTTTAGTACGCTCAAAGCTTCTTATGATTTGCGGCACACGAGCTTGTGAATGCAGAGGTGAGTAACAAACTCCAAACCGACATCTCCCTTCTCAGTCTTCCGGCACCCACACCCCTTCCTCACACGCTGAGCACGCGGTCTCAACTCGAGTAAAAACGTCCCCGCTGAATCAGCGGGCGGTGTGTGCGTCAGACCACAGGGGCAGCACGCAGCGGGGTGGGGTAATCACAGACCGGGAGGGGTGCCGAGCGCAGAGAATAGGGAAACGCCGCGGCACAGGGGGTGGGGTGAGAGGTGCACACTCGCTTCGCAGCCACGCCCGGCTAGTTAGCACTCGGACCAGTTTTTGTCCGACATTTACCGTGTAGCAACGCTGGATGGCGGGCTGGAAACTTGATCCAATTCATTTAGCCAGCCGCAAGTGCGATCAGAACCATGTGTTTTGCTTACTATATCACTCATAGGAAATTAACATCACTCCTGTGTGAAAACTGATTTCCGCATTAGGATGTAACTATCATGACTGCCATGGCCGCTATCGACTTTTTAGTGACTGCATTTCAATTACACATATACTTAAATCTTGATTTCACGGCGTAATATGAAAATAGGTGGCTGGTCCGTTACAATGCAAATAATAACGCTGCCTTCGCTGCCTTAGTACAAACACTGACCTCTGAGCATAATTCAGCGAAGCAACCATTGATATGCGCATCTCACATCTGCTAACACTAAAGCGCATATCTAGGGTATCTGCGATGTATTATCGCCCTTCAATGGTCCCAGATCTGTCAGAATTTGAGGGCAATGAGTTCCTCGACGACTTATCGATCACTTTAATTGGAGCCTTGATGAACGATCGATCATCCGTTAGCTTGGTCAGTGACTATCACCTCCGTCCCGTCTCCGTACCGTCCCCGTCTCTTCTGTCCCGTCTCCATCCCGTCTCTACAGATTAGCCGTTGTTGGTTTACGTAAGCGGGTCGAGGTGCGTCCCGCCGCGCCGGTCGGCTCTACCGTTGTGCGCGTTGTTGGCACGTTAGCGCTAAATTTACGGACGCTCCTCTCACCCGGCGCTGCCACCCACACATCCCAGAGAACTTCGAGGAGCGGCCGGCACCGATCCGGAGAGCGGCCGGGCCCGGTCCGGAGTGAGATCCAGACTCTGTCCTGGCCGACCGCAGAGTCCGTCGGCTGGTCCATTCAAAATAAAGAACTGGGTAAATAGAGAGATTTAGGGATGAGAAGGAAGAAGCATCAAATGCACCATATGTTCAGTTAATGCCATAGCCAGGTTAATTCATTTGCTTGCTATGCACCACAAGCACTCACCCCACTCTCTGCACACCATGGTGTGAGTATGGCGTGGGAATAACAGATGGTGAAGAAATGTCATCCGCTGGTTAGGTAAAATAAGCGCTGATCACTGCACTCGGTCAAGAACAGTAGCCGGATGGTCCCATTCTATTTGTTATGCTCTTGAGTGAATCCAAGATGGACTCACTTCAAACTATCACTCAAACCTAGCATGCTTCATTCGACACAGAGCAGCTCAATTCAGACGCAGACCCGTGTGACAGCCGGGTCCCCAGACCGAGCCACAGCTTCCGTCACCGTATACCGCTACTCGGTAATTAAACAGAACACCCCATAACGTGGGCGGAATGATTGGAGTTCCGGAGGGGAGGGCGGACGGTGGGAGCTCGATATGGAGTCCGGCAGACGGGTCTGATCCCAGAGACGGCTGTCACTGATCGTCACTGGCCGACCACAAATGGCCATGAATCCGTCAGTGCTTCATGCTCAGCGCGGCAGCCACCGTCAGCCCAGTGTGTGTTAGACTGGGGAGGCCCACAAACTTAACCTGGCGGAAATGGTCCAGCGTCTAGCCGGATTAAGCCCGATCAGGAAACAGATAAATTAGTAGACGGGTTAATTCTCGGCGCGTGTTGTCGCTATTAGCGCAGCGGTCAACATCCGTTCAATAGGTGACAAAAACGCCAGCTGGATCCTTCCTATCCTACTGGACACGTAACCGGCTCACCGCCCGCCGGGACCACTTTCCGACGATGGTTTTTCGTAAACACCGTCGAGCGATTAGCACTAATTGCGAGCGCAGTATCCTTGACACGTTGTCACACGGTACTTGTTTTATTGTTGGACGCAGCACCCGGTGACCCGTCGTGGCCTTCTGCGTTCGGCCATCGAAGCCCCGGGCATCCCTCTAGAGGCCATTTGTCACCGAAAAGTGCCACCGCTGCCAGTGGCGGGTCACCGTGGGGTCACCACGAGATCACCGCCGGGTCAGCGGGGGTCACCCCCGGGCGCACATCGACACCCATAGCAGCGTATGTCCCTGAGCTGAACCCGCGTTTCGCCGGCTCCCGTATCACGCAGAGCAGTCGGCGCCCCCTGCCTCCCTGCGGGCGGCCAGGTCAGACCAGAGCCGACATGTCACCGGGTAGGATAGACAATAGGCTGGCTCTGTGGGTACCATCCTAGTCAGTGGGACACGGCCTAGTGAGACGGAGAAGCGCGACAGGCGCAACCACAGCCGCCATTACCAGCTGATCTAATAGGGCACGGCGGTAAAAAGGCGTCCGTAAATTACTTTCACAATGCCGCGACTGGTCTTACGGGGACATGTTTGTAGCGAAGGGAGACAAGTTCATTATGATGCAAGGCACCGACGCATTGTTTGTGAGCGACCATGGGGTTGTTGTGTGTCGACCCAAACAGACTGGGTCAGAGGGTCTGAGAAGGGGAGCGTGAGGAATCACATGCGTGACTCGTCTACCTGTTCAAAGCTGAAATTGACATCATCATCATCAACATCAGCAACGACTGCAAGCACAAATGTAGGCACACAACAATTTGTAGGAGTGTCACTTCCCACAAACAATGCGTGTAAGATGAGCCTCATGATGGTGATGTGCTGACAAACAAGATACGCTGGCGTTGAAACTTACCTTGGGCGTTTTCTGCTGCTCTGTCATACTCCGGCGGTGAAACTGTCGCGTTAGGCCTGGACGACTTGGGGCTGCTTTTCACACCACTGCCACCACTTTCCGCCCGGTCCAGCTTCGGGAACTCCTCGGAACGAACACTCACGCCCAGCGACCTCGACTTCTGGACGAGTCTTTTGAGCACGCTCAGTTTGCGCCTTGTCTTTGGTGACGGCTCCGGTCGGTGCACGGTGTCGTCGTACCGACCTCTGTCTGGGGGTCGAGGCGATCCCCGCTCTAGCTCCCTGTTGGTGGAGTCGTCTCGCCAATCCACCACCTCTGCCTCTGAAGAGGTCAGGTGTCCCGTGTCGGCTGCCGGTGCCGCCTCCCCTGCCGAAGAGGCGTCAGTGGCCGTACTGACCCCCGAACTGCTGCCCGTGGAGCGGACCGTGCCCTCTGGACCGCCGCTGAAACACAGCTCGCCGCAGTCCCGGCCGACGGAGCCGGTCGGCGACATCGGTACCAGCGGAGCTCTTCGCTTTGGCAGTGGTCTTCGGGACAGCTGACGTCCGGAAGATGGCTGGTCGCCAACAGAAACGTTAGATACTTCGCTTCCTCTAGACTCCTTGGAAGACCTGCTTCCTTTGCCATCCTCATCTTGCTCAGGCGGAGGACTCAGTCCACGATCATCATCAGCAGGATCGTACTCTCCCATGTGAAAGGTTCCACTGGATTCGACCTTCACTACCGTACGGTTGGTGACATCCTCTCTCTGCGTAGACCTGGCCCCGTGGCCTCCTCCGACCTCACGCCGAAGGATATCCTGGAGGCTGACCTGCCTCCGGTGCTTGTTACGGCCATCAGATGCTCCTCCAGTAGCGCCATTGACCGATACAGTGTGAGCCTCACTTCTCCCACCAGCAAGGGGTGAGTCGTCTCTATGACCATCAGCATTCTTACCACCGATGCTGACGCTGGTGCTGGCTCCAGAGACATTCTCCTCTCTGCGCCAGGCGCGGTGCCGAGCCGCCGACGGCGTGGACTTGGCACTGGAGCAGGGTGAGGCACCGGCGCCGCGCTGCGCCCGCGCCGACTCGCTCGCCGAGGACCGAGACCGCCGGATGGAGCGGCGTGTGATGTCGTTCCTCGACAGCGAGCTGTTGCGGTAGGGCGGCCGCGGCGGCGCCGAGCCCGTCTTGTCGCTGTCGCTGCGGCCGAGTCCGCGACGAGTTGGCGCCGGCCGCAGGTCACCCTCTTCCTCCGCGCGCCCTCCACTGGAGGAGCGCGGCCGTGGCAGCAGGTGCTTCCTCAGCAGGGCCGAGATGCGCTGCGGCGTCGGCGGTTTGGAGCTCAGCGGCGGTGTGTCAGGGGCGCTCCGTTCGGAGTAGTGCCGACCAGAGGGGCTCAGCGCCCCGGCAGAGCCGTGGTCCTGCCCGCGGGACGAAGGTCGCTCACTGGACGGTGTCCTCTCGCTGGTGTCCAGGTTCTGGAAGCTGATGCCGGAGCGGGCGCGGTAGACAACGGGTCCGCGGCCCGAGGAGTCGGGCTCGGCCACCACTGGCACTCGGCGCGGCTCTAGAGGCGGCCGGCCGGCACCGCGGCGATCGGTCAGGGCAGACATCGCCGTTCCCCGAGAGCAAGTCCTCAGTGTGGCTCAGTCGACTCCAGTCCTGTTTTATACGTCACACTAGTCCGGGTCGGTAGTCACAGTTGTTTGCCGTGGAGGAGAGTAGCGGCAGCACATCCACTCACAGTTTTAACGATCACCTCCTCTCCCGCTACCGTTCAACAACACAGATAACCGGCCACGGTTTTCGCGAGGCTCTCACAGCTCGCACGTGCAAATCACCTCCCTCTCAGCCTAGAAGCGAACTGCGTGTCAGAATTCGGGCCACCGCTGTCGACGCCGCTCATAAGCCTCCTATTGTAAGCCGCGGCTTCTCCGGGTGCTGACAGCCGCTCACGAAACTATGCCGTTCACTTTCGTTCTCATCCGCCACATGCGGTGGCAATCCGTCTAAGGCCGGACTCAGAACAGCTAAGACGCGCCAAGCCTGCGCATTTTTAGTCTGACGGAGATTGAGAAAACTGGCGAAGCCCGGGGTTCGTGCGGTGTTGTAAGAGACATGGGATGGGCTCGCCGTACCAGACCACAGCAGCACAGGATTAGGCATAGGGTGCTTTGAGGCTAACATAAACAGGGAGGACCGCACCTCCAGCAGACAAGACCTCCCTTGAGACGAGCTGCACATACGAATCAGCGTTAGGTAAAGGGGCTCTATCAAACTCACAAGGTAGTCACTGTGCTGATATATTGGGACAGGATGTGACATCATGTTTGGAATAAACACGACTGACCCCCGGGATTGCTTCAGCAGACTCTGCGACACCTCAGTGGCAGCCATAACGAGGACGGAAATCTGTAGATATCAGCTCTGCAGATACAGAACCTCGGCTGAATTCTTCAAAAATGTTCCGCCATCAGCTATATATTTTCGTAACTTCTGTCCAAAGATCTTTGATGGCAAATTATCCACTTTTGCCGCAGTCTCATTTGGTCACTAACATCTGTCATGTCATCCTCCTCCATCAACTTGACTGTGATTTGCATGTCAGATGTCGCTCTTGACATCTGCGGATCTGACCTGTGACCTGACCTCTCGCCCTGCCATCTGCAGACCTGACCCCCTGCCGCGCCCTTAGCGCGTGCCGCCGCGGCGGACGGAGATGGGAGCGGGCTGGACGCCACCGTCGACCTTGGTACCGACGCTGCAGCCGTCCCAGCAGCCTCCGTGGGGGCGGGGCCCTCGGCACCGTGCCTGGCCGTGCACCCTGCACGTGAGCAGGAGACTGAGACAGCGCCGGCGCGCGACGGCCGGACGCCAGGTCAGGTGATGGATCCACTGAGACACAATGGAACACACAGACGTCTTATGCGGTTAGCCGGACGGGGATGTCTGCTCAATCATCCTCGTCCAAAAAGGGCTACCGAGACTAAATATGCGAGACTAAAAAAGGAAAGCTTTTCCGCTGTCCATGATAATAAAGCTCAACACCACAAGGCCACCAACAACCAGTGCCGGAACTATCTGAAAGAATCTTGGCAGTAACCGCGTGTGTGAAGACTCTTAAAGTTCACGTGCAGGCAACATATGGTGGAGAATCGTGATCGGTCTGAGCTCTCAAGCGGGCCGTCAGGTGGGCCCGGTGAGGCGATCAACGACTGTGATTCGTCAGACGCACTGAGTGCCCTGCGGCAGTTTTCGTTCCAAAGTGGCGGCCGGTGAGGGTCAGCGGATTCGGCGGGGACAGGGTGATGGACGGTGCCCCACCCGACGCGACGGCCCGCCCCCGATCATCAGCGAGACAAATGGTGGAACCCCCGAGCCACCACAACCGCCGCCTTCGGCACGCATCCCGATCGACGCCGCTTGCTTGACCGACCCGAGAAACCACACGGTGACGGTACCAACAGTTGTCAGCTTCCCGAAGCTGACAAGGAACACATTCACAATCAACAACATACAAAAGTTTCCTCAGCGCGTTGTCGTGGCCGTCGTCGGGAGCTCCTTGGCCGATTACGACACACTGAGGGCCCCGGCGCGTGGAGAGGAGTCTCGTCTGAGAGAGGAGTCTCGTCCCTTCCCGTCAGCGCCGATGGCGTGTCACCGGCCGGCGGCGGGCTGCGTGCCGGGCCAGGAAGACGGATGGCCGGACCGGTCACGGCGGAGGGACGTCCGTAATTGAACGGAGCGGTGACGGGAGGCCGCCCGGGGAGGAGGTGGGCCGGCCCCGGGTCTCACGGTGTGGAAACGGCCGACCGGACCGCCCCCGGTGCCCTGCGCTCCTCTCCCGCCCGGCAGACGCTGCCCAGACCTCCGGGAACGCGCGGCTGAACGGCATATTGACTTAATCGTTTGACCACCTCCCTTCCTTCTGTGTATGTCCTATATCTTCATAATCGCGCCTTTCAAAACATCATCACCTTTTAACTAACAATCCCGCCTTCCAACGATTTTTCATCAATGATTCATCTTCCCATATCATGGATCAACCATCGCCTTTCGCCTTACCACAGACCGTTATCAAGGCGCATCCCAAAACTCGACAATAGCACATCTTTTGTGTCCGGCTTGTTTGAAGAATTCCAAGCGCGTTTCCTAATCGCTGGGCACGCCTCGGTCCATTTGTCGGCGGAGACGAGTCGACGGCGTCTGCCGCCCTCCCGCCGGCCGGCCCACCGGCATAGACGGCATAGACGGCCGCCCAACCACCCAGCGGGCGGGCAGGAAGCAGTTAACTGCACGACACTCAGACCGGGCCGGACGTAAACAAGGCCGTAAATCGTGATGCGTTACACCACCGGCCAGTAGTGTCACCACGGCGGAGCGTCACCCGACCCGACCTGACCCGACCTGGGCGGCCGGCGCCGGGCCCGGGGCGAAAGTGACAATGCGGTGGTCGCCGTCGGGGCTGACCCGGCCGGCACGCGCCGCACGCACTCCCGAGTCACCGCCGAGAGACCCAACCGGTCACGCCGAGAAAACGGTGAACGCATGCACATCGGGACGCCGGAGAAATGCAGTAGTGCACGACTCGAGCTTCTGAGATTCATGGAAGTTCGAAGCGTCTGCATGAGAGAGCAAGGCATAGGGCTTTGCTCTGGATTTTGCTCACTGATTCTACCAACACTCTAAGAGGCTCTTGGTCGCTGAGAGCGTGAGTTACCGCCCTCGCAGCTCTGCCATAACGTTGTCTTTTTAGGATCTCGGAGGTTCTTTGAAGATAAGGAAGCCTTCTAGATCTACCGCGGCCGTCCGCGCCACGTTGTTCTCACTCTCTCAGGAGCGTTTGTGGGGGTTTCACCGACGTCTGTTTGACGCCTTATCTGAGATCAAACGGCGGCTGATGCGCCGCGCTCGTCCAGGCGCCGTCCGGAGCAGATAGAGACAGATGGTGAGCCGCGGAGAGAAAGGGAGAGTGGACTGAGACGTTCCCGGGTCGGCCGGTCGGCCAGCTCGGCCGCGAGCAGGGCGGGCCGCCCGGGCGCGGTGCTCGGCGGCAGGTCGTTATGCGTCAGCACGTCTGCCCTTGTAACTGGCGGCAATGGCCCGTCAGCGGGCGGCTAACAAGGGCCGCGAGGACCCGGCGTATGATCTACGGCGGCCATCGGCGCTGACGCCGGGTCACGACGCCGGCCGCTCGGGACGCCGCCGGCGGTCACATAGGACCCAGCGGGGTCGGCTCTGTAGGTCATCTGGAGGCCGCGGACCGGCGAACCCGGCTGACGGCGTCAGGCTCGAGCACGTTTTATTACAAAGTCAAATCAAACCAGACCTAATTGCGAGGTCGAGTCAGCGAGTGGCCTCCGCGCAGTCGAGTGTAAAAGCAGATGCAATGGGGATAATACGATGTGGACTGTGGAGCCTTGCAGCGTCTCGTGAGATGCGAAATCCATACATATGCAATTAAACCCATAGGTAAAGGGTCAAAGCCATTCAGTTACCTGCCACGGCACCCCAGAAGCCAACTAAGGCAAACAACAACAAAAAAAAAGAATAGGTATGTACGTGCGTGAATTGCAATGTTCACCTCTTGGCTCTTCCGCATGCAGAGCAGCTTCAGGACGGGATGAGCTAGAAAGCAACTGAATTGTTTTCACGCGTCTCTGAGACGAATTGATCTGTTTCTGCCAGATCACACGGCCAGTTCGGTCCAGCGATCCGCTCAATCCGATCTATCCCCGATGGCCATCGGTAGCATCACGCACCTGTCGCACACAGGAAGTCCCCGGCCACCGCTTTTTGTGCCAACAATTCCTCGGCATCGCGCCGCAGCAGCGGTGATTTTTGACAAACGCCAGTCCCCCAGACGGCGTTTCCTGCTCCTGAGTAGCCAGGCGTAACGGCACGCCGCCTCAGGACGGCCGCTGGCCCGGTCAGGCACCCAGCCTCCGGGAGGGGCAGGTGTGGGTGGCAAGGAGAGCGATCGGACGCCGCTCAGGCTGTCACAGGCTCTGATCACCTGTCGACAGCCAGCACGCGATGACCATTAGTGAGTCGGCAAAAAGTTCGGCCGCCCCAGTCGGGGTTTGAACCTGCTCCGCTGCGGGGCCGCCGCGGGCCTCACAGGGTGGAGTCCGCCCGGCAAAACATACCGTCAGCCGCGGCAGGGGAGGCAGGCGGCGAGGTGGTAATGGGATAAAATTGAGGCACAGGAATGGCGCAAAGGTGCAAAAGAAAGCTAGGGCGATGAAGAAGTACACACTAAAGGTGGTGAGGAGAGATCAGTAAAATGAATTCCGGAAGCGGCAGGGTAATACAGATTTTCGATTCTGCCTCCATGGGGCTTTTATAGTAAATACGTGGTCCCATTTTTACGCGACCGAAGACGGGCCGATATCGCAGATACACCACGTTTTTCCTGACGGCCTGTCGGCTGGCATTTGGAGACGGCGGGCCAACCTTCCTCTGAGCCGCTCATCGGACCATCCTGCGATCAGTGATACGGAGATGTACCCAATCTGAGGACTGCTGAGGCGAATTCGCCGGACCGTGGACCGGGTCACAGGCTGCCCAGCGGCCAGGGAAAGAGCAATCGAAGTATGGCGACAAAAGATTA